TCTATAACATGCTATAATAGAAATTAGCAGTATACAAAATTTAATGTCAGGAAGAATCAAGTAGCTCGATGGCACAGTATTAAGCGCGTATACACAGCCCCGGATCGACAGCTTTTATAATCTACTTAGGTACTATATGTTCTCGTGCTACACAATTACAAACTCAAAATTACAGAGGGCCAAATATTAGACTTAGAACGTGCAGGCGGGACAGGTTCAAATAATAAAAGAAGCGTAGTCGCCCGGATAGCGTAAGGTCATGGGTTCGAGTCCCATATCGGAGCGCCAGGGACAAAGTGGAATTTTTAAGCAATTTTTATTAAGAAAAGAATACTGATTAAATTATCAAAAAGCATAAATAAATATTCAACATTCTTTTGTTTATTTCAGCTCGCGCTAAGCTTGAAATTACTTTAAATAAAGAACAAATTTTTTTTAAATTTCATGGAGGCTCAAGTGCAGCAAATTATTAAAAAAAAACAAGATTTTTTGTTATAGATTGTGATCACGGTTAACTTTGAAATGACTTCCGCAGGTATAAGCATTTTTAAAATAGATCTAGTTCAATCGGAGCTTATTCTATACAAATAAACAATTAGAATAGATTATTACAACGATTGATCAAATAGTAAGCAATGGTTTCATTTCGCAAGGTCTTAAACTACATAAATAATATTCATAGCTATAGGACCAACACACAGAACTTTCAAAAGTTTCACTTATTTATTATTAGCAGAGTTATAAAGTGGCTTTGCATGTATTTCATTCAAAGAATGGATGTTATAGATGTCACACTATCTAAAATAAATTAAATATATAACCGACGCACACTGCCAGGATGTTCACTTTGAAAACCAAGTAGGTTTAATACTCTTCAACCTATTATCTTTGGCGTGGAATTTCCGAAATACTGTTCTAATACACCTGTGTAGCAAGGTGTATATCCTTTAAGTCTCTAAGCTCAGCGGTTTAGGCTGTGTGTCTGTCAGTCAGTAAATCAGAACAAAGATTCTTATATTATTAGATTACATTGAGTACAAAGTTCACATTATATATATGCCATTAATTCTATATTAATTTACGATGAACCAGATGAACAGACACGCGTGCTAATGTTATATTAGATAAGAAAACACGAAGGAGCCACGTGACATATCGTGACAAACAAACTAAAGAATCGATAAAAACCGGTATGAGCAGTTTTTTGTGGTATGACCCAATAATGTTGATTGGAACATGCTAATTGTGTATTGAAAAAAAACTGGTATTTATAAAACAGTATTGATACGAGTAAAAAAGAATACTTATCAATAGATAATAAAGGGGCAAAGTTTTGATTGATTTTTTTGCATCGAAATGGCTCCGAAGCTATTGGACCTTAAAATTATTTCACCTACAGAAAGCTACGTCGACACTATTTTGACATGCACCAAAGTAGTCAGACGAAACATCGTCATGACATCGCTAAGATGTCGTACACTATGGCTAAATATTAAGGTGGTCTCACCCCTGAACGCTGGTAAGACTGCGCACGAGTCTGCAGTTCTGTGACCCACTCCCGCAATGTCATCGGCGGTCATCGAGCACGCTAGCTCTTATCACATTTATAATTACATTTTTGTTTTAATTCGTATATGATTCATATTAGATATTTCGTGTTGTATTGTCGTTATTATTTTTAATAGCATCAAGAACTGTCACGTACCTACTTAGTTTTGTGTTTATAAATAACGTCGTGCCTTTTTATTGTGACAATGCAAATAAATTATCGTGTTATTATTATGATGTCAGCATCCATATATCAAAATATTATGAAATGAAAAATTGTTTAAATAATATAGTTATTTTTATACGTGCTTCTGTCATTCTTTGTGTTTATTGCCATCATCTAGAGGTATCTTTACGTGTCGCTCATATACTCTCGTCTAAAATTTGAAGCTCTGATTATCTGAACAATATTCTGAACTGTTCAGGCGGCCAGACTACCGCTATGTCTGCATGACAGATCATTTGCGGCTTAATTTCGACAGAACAATCAAGAATGTAAATGATCACTAATTTCATCAATCAATATTGCGATTGTGCGTTGGGCGTAAATTTATCACGGCAAAGCAAACGCATCATTTCTTTCTTGTGCATTCCTCTATATTCCTATGTCAAATAGCAACGTTGTAATAAAAATCAGGGGAAAGTCAACCAGAGACAAGTTTGTATGAGTTAGATTTCTTTGCCTTTATTAATTAAATAAACAAAAAGTCAATGGATCTTATAAGGTGCGAAATTAGAGGGAAATTATAAAAGCAAAATGTCTCTTACTTCCATTTTTAAATAAAAAATGGTTACGTCACACCGTGAATCGTAATAGAATAAAAACTTTAACAAAAACTATAATTGTCTTTTACAATTACGCCTAACCTCGTGGACTGACTGGCAATATATGGAGTATTGAAAAAATAAACCTTAACTGAAGTCAAATAAGGCTGTGATTAGAGCGTTCGATCTTAAAGGAGTTTAAGCTACATGCCCAAAGGCCGATGATCGGATGGGTAATCAAAATTGATGTATTATTATCATGAATTGCTTTGTGCTTCAGAAAGCATTTAAGGCCATTTTTGGAATTCATATTTTTTTCTACTTTTACATCTTATCTATACTAATATTATAAAGAGGAAAAATTTTATAGTTTGTCTGAATTAAATAAATTTTAAACTAATGGAGCAATTAGAAAAAAATATAACCTACATTAATGTACATAATATGCGGGTAATTAGCGTGGACGCAGTTGCAGCAAAACAACTAGTTATTGAAATAATTACATGTGAAATGTGGAGAGTGATAAAAAAAAATTCATGTAGATACATGTGAGAGCATTGATTGGGTCAAAACATTATTTACAAAATTATTTATTACTCTATTATTTTATATCATTTTTACGGTTCCGTACCCAAAGGGTAAAATGGGAACCCTATTACTAAGACTTAGCTGTCTGTCTGTCACCAGGTTATATCTAATGAATCGTGAAAGATGGACAGTTGAAATTTTCACAGATGATGTTTTTCTGTTGCCGCTTCAACAAAAAACACTAAAAAAAGAATAAAATAAATATTTAAAACGTGGCTTCCATACAGAAAAACGTGACTTTTATAATAAATTCAAATTTATTTTCTTTTGAAATATTGTTGTCCTATATTAATCAAATAATTTACATTTTATAACATGGTGAATGCAAAATTCATGAAAACAATTTTATAATGAATTATAAAAGTTTATGTGAAACAATTAACAATGTATTTGGAACACCTATTAATCAAATAACTAAATAACAGGTTTGCGAATTCTTATCTGTAAATGTTTATGGGTGTAACTGTATTTAAATTTGAAGAGGACTAATTACTTTTTTAAATCTCGTTTTAATAAACCGTTAAGGCTCCGCGTGAAGAAGGCGCGTGTAACAAAAATCTGGTTATGATAAAAAATATAAGCTCCAAGCTCCTAATAAGCTGACGACCTCCGCAGCCGGGTGGTTCGCGCGCCGGTTTAAAGGTGTCACCATCTCTGAGGTCTAGGGTTTCGTTTTCCATTCGGCTTAATTTGTAAAATGGACTTTTCTGTAATCTCAAATCTGTGTGTTGTGACCTTCGTCTCAGATACTCCATTATATATGTATTGTATATTTCAAAACTACATCATAATTTGAAAGTTGCTGTCGTATCTACAATGTGAATAATTTTTATAAAATTTTCTGAATCGTAAAGATATTCATATAATTAATTTATTTTTTTAATTTCGTTTGTACTGCACTTTGAGAATAATCGTGATATGTAGAGTGTAATTAATCAAATACAGATTTTGACTAAGACCCATATCGTAGTTAATCTATCACTTTTAAATTGCCTAGTCCACTCCATTAATAGGTTTTAACACAACAGATTTACTACCAAAATCCAATACACATTCTTAAAAATTATATAATTTATTAACTTTAACACATTTTTCACTTTTACGTCTATTTTGCTTGATCAATTAAGTTTTATTTCAGTTATATATTTTATGTAGGTACTAGACTATATGCAATTTCTTATAATTACTACTACTACACCGGTTCTTATAATTACAACTCGTACGAATTAACGTGATATCTGAAGGCTTATTCTATTTCTCTGAAATTGAAATTTCGTTCCAAAGTCAAAAAAAGCCTTTATTCAAATATACTTCTTAGTACTTTTGTATCGTCCAACGCGTGTTAAAAAATAGTTTTTAATCAATTTTCGGTACACAGATATGACTCCAAAGAAACCCATTTTTCGATCACTTATGATGCAACGGAGGTAAAATGTCATATTATCTGATGTATAGACAAATAATGACACGAAATTTTTCCGATTTTTTAAGGACAGTTAGAACAGGCTATAGTTAGTACTAAGCTTACAGTTAAAGATTTTACTGTGCTAAATGTCATGAGAAGTAATATTATTGACGCGTACTGTATTTTGTAAGTGTTTGTCTAACCAAATAAATAAAAAAGATGCTTGGTGCGATTATAGATATATGAAAAACCTTTTTTGTCTACACGGAGGGTTCCGTTTCATTTTCTATAAAATAAACAAAGAAATCACGTTTGTTGCATGGTATCATCATCATATCAGCCGAGAAACGCCCACTGCTGGGCATGGGATATGTTAAGTATTAATTTTATTTTATTTTTTGTTAAATTCCAACTATCTAGATAGTTCATAAGATACAGCCAAGTAACAGACGGACAGCGGGGTCTTAGTGATAGAGCCCAGTGCGTGCAAGCCACGGTAGAGTTCGTATCATGAAATTTTTGATCACCCATCCTATAACCAGCCTTTGCAAAAGTTGCTTAACCTTCGCAATCGCAGATCGAACAAGCTAACTGTTACACTTAAAAGATTATGGACAATCAATATTTAAAAAATAACACATGCCAAAATCATAAATAAAACGATATTATTAAAGAATAAGGAAAAACCACTTACTTGAGTTTTTTTTGCTAAAAACACTACACTACAATAAATTAAAGCTAACCTCTAAATTAAAAAAAATATATGCTCACTATATAAACTGTTGCCTTTACGCTGTCTGCGTTATTACTAAACCGACGGACAGACCGAATGACCTTTATGTAGAGATTTGCATCTTGACGTAATCTTCAGAGAGTCGGTCGAACTGTCAAATGAATGACTTCATTAGCACAATAATATAATTGCTATAATTAATATCGAGTCTTAAATATAGGTAGAAAATATATATTGTACAGTCGACAGTATGTTAGGTAACCAATTCTAAAACGTCAAATTTCTAATTTATCATTTAACTTTTATCTTGTAGTTAACCAAAAAATAACATCTAAGTATTAAAACCAATATAGTTAACTTAATATTAATTATTTTGTGTGAGAAATAAAATGTCTATCTCAATATTTTATTCTGACCATGGAAACAAGCCTTTCAGCCGTATCCAAAAAAAAAAAAAAAATTAAATAATTAATTAACAGAAGAAATATGTGAAATGGTTTGAAACAAAACGATTTTTTTTCAACGATGTTTTCTATTAATTTACAAAAATGGTAAATAAAAGTCTTTATAAGATAGCCAATCCTGAACGCGGCATATCTATCTAAATAAGCTATCTACGTCAACATAAGGAATCTATTATAATCAAAACGGTAATTCGTAAAATTTTCATGAAAAATATAGTTATCCCAAAAATTAACTATTTTCACAATTTTTGTTGTGATTATACTATTTTTTAATGGAATTGTAGCCAAGCGAATAGCGTAGTATTTTTGTAATAATCATCATAGTTTATCCGTCCTATATGACAGGGACTCTTTTGATGTTACACTTTCTATTGATTTTTGAGAAAAATACAAAGCGTATGTCATACATACCCTTGTAATAATCAGCGGTAGTGTGGTGGGTTGGGGGTTAATTGCGTAAATTTCAAATCTATGGCAATCATTTGGAAGATATTCACGAACTTCACGCCACTCCTGTTTGATAATAATAGTGATAGTTGTTTTTTGAAAGCTGACAAATGAATGTTATTTTTAATTTGACGGCAATATCTTCGAAAGCAAGAAACAAAAGAAATAAATGCCAACCGCAGTCTTTCGACGGGTTTTTATTACGTATTATTTGATTATTCTTATTACCACTCGTTGCAATAGTGATGCGACTTTAAAAGTGAGATAATTCCATAATACGCTTTACCTTTGTAAATTATTGCGTTAGATTTCGATTAGACACTGAGCCCAGAGGTTGTCGTTCCATGAAGTGTGGTTGAGCAAAGCAATGACGCACGCTCCTGTAGTTGTGCTGGTAAATGAGTTTGTTCTGGACTACTTAGTTCTGTTTTTTTTAAACTATTGATTTTAATATTTGTATTTATGCATATGCCTGAGATTAAGAGGGCATGTATACCCAAAATTACTATATACCTATCGACTGGTCTTAAACAATGAAATAAAGGCTAAGTAGGTAATTAATAATGATGAAACTTCTTTATTATTATAACTAAAACGTGAATTTATAAAATTTATTAAATAGAAAAAAATTACAAAGTTCCCCATAAATTTAATATTTTTTCTATTTCTATGTTTTTACTTTTACTTTGTTTGTCACTGTGTAGACGAGACAATTATGTAGTACTTTTACAATAATCGCAGTAGTTCATTCATCATCATCAGCCTTTTACGCAGAGGCTCAGGCCTTCCTTATGGGTGGTTAAGGAAGATTGGCGGATATTAACGACTGCAAATGCAGCCGGGACCAACGACTTTAACGTGCCTTCCGAAGCACGAAGTAGCTCGAGATAATCATTTTTTGGTCACCCATCCCGTAACCGACCTTCGTGTAATAGCTTAACAACAACGATTGCGGGCCGTGGCGCTTATCCATTACGCCACCGAGCTATTCTACAAAGGCCTGACCTCATGTAAACACTGAAGAATCAACTTAACCCTTGTCTTTTATGTATCTATGAGTCAGTCAGGTACTAAATTAAGGTATTTTGAATTGCAATAATTCTTAAAGTACTTGTTCTAATTTAATGTGATTTGGAAATGTGCCTCGTTATGTGATGCCCTCTTAGTCACTGAAAATTTAGGCTTCTAGTTTACTCCACTACGAAGTTACAAGGAGTCAAAAATGGCCCGAATGGCTTCGAGAAAAGGACACACGTGCCCTTTTTTCTTTTTTGCTCGACTTGGTGGAGACACTCTCGTGAAATCTAAAAGTTTATTATTGATGCCTCACTCTCTATCCTTATCTATCTCATGGGCGCAATGAGTAAGACGAATTATAATGTGTTTTATTATAGTAATCGTTTTATTGCCGAAATTCCACCTAGACAGTTTGAATATATCAAAAACGGTAGCGTTTAAGGGTTGTTTCCGCCACAAGGCGACTAAGTGCTGGAATGATATACCCCCTCAAAAAAAAGTGCCTAACTTCGAAGTCTACCTTTAAAAAATATTTAAAATTATATTTTTTACTAGAAAGTTTTGGTGTACGTACTATCAGTAGCCTGGATGGTTACAAAATAAATTGTCTCTTAGCCTAACAATAATGCTTTGTTTTTTTTTTTTTAGATGTTTGTTAATTCTAATGCATTTGGGAAATTAGATTATTGAATATTATTAATCATTTACATTAATTTTAAAGCATATTGGTTATATTATTTTTTAAATTTATGCAATTTTCAATTACGATATCAATTGATTTTATTTACGACTTTATTATATGTACGAAATGAATGCTGTCGCTCTCGATCTGTCCTTGCCACTACATCCAGGCAAAAGTTAAAAATCAGTGTTTTGCCTACTCTGAGTGAAAGTATCGCTGAGCTTTTGCCTATTTGCGTTGCTGTAATACACACTATACATTTTTACATGTGTTATAATTGTGTTTTTGTCATGATTTAATTATCTTTCATTTTATTATATTGTAGCAATTTCTCTTACACGTATCTATGTGTGTTTGTGATGCAAATAAACGACCTTAGTTACATAAACTATAGTGTGATTTTTTTTATTAATTCAATTTATTTTTAAGAATAAATATTAAAAAAAATGTATTTTGCACTACTCTATAGTAACTTTCCGGCAAAGTGGGGCTCACGTACCATGTCCTTGCTGTATCCTATTAATATTATAAAGGCGAAAGTTTGTAAGTATGGATGTATGGATGTTTGTTACTCTTTCACGAAAAAAACTACTGGACGGATTTGGATAAAACTTTACAGCAATATAGGTTATACATCAGAATAACACATAGGGTACTTTTTACTGGGAAAACTTCTCACTCCCACGGGATACCGACTTCCACGCGGACGAAGTCGCGGGCGTCCACTAGTATGTATATAAAAACATTAGAAAATCGCGTTTGTTTTATAAAAGCTCAAATATTTATTATAATATATTTTTAATCGATTTTAAAAAAAGAGGTTTTCAGTGTGATCATGTCTCTGCAGCATACAAAAAGATGGGAAATATGAGAGTGCGTACTAGAAGGGTTTCCAATCCAGGCTAATAGGTATCCTAATGCCAAATTTCATCTAAATCCGTTGTAGCTTTTGCATGAAAGAGTAATAAATGTCATAGATATATCCTTAATCATTTGCACATTAAAAAGTTTTATTATGTGAGAACTGAATGCCAAAATTATTTTAATGAGAAGCTTAAATTTTATAAAAATAATACATAAGAACCTTATATTAGAGCCAGAAACTTAAATGCTTGAGAGAAAGTCGTCCGTGTTTCCCTCCCTCGGAAATTCATTTTCAATGAGGTTGTAAAGGTTTCAGTTTTTATGGATGCTTTGCTTGCATTGTTTGTTAGTAGTTCCATAAGATTTTCATAGATGGCGCTGAATTTGTTTCGTACAGAATGTTTAAACAATACGACATATAAAAGAAAAGTCATGTTTTTGTACTTATTGTACAAAAAAGGTAAAAAAAAAATAATTTGTACTGCCTTATTAAAATTCTTTAAATTTCTATGTCTATGAACGACTTCGCACCTAAATACTTTTTAATATATAATTAGTATCTTTGAAAACTGAGAATTAAATCCTGACATAAATTAAGGAAATTTGAGGAGGCCCTCTATTGATAAAAGGATAAAACATGTCTTCTTCGTAGAATTACTGTGACAGAATGCTTTTTCGTCATATATAAAAATAATTTAAGAAGTAAACGATCTACGAAATACTGGGTATTATGAACTTTCCTGTTTGAAAATGTGTTAATATGAATTAACAATTAATATCATATTAATTTTATAATATCACACTAATTTATTTGTATCTCTACTTATGGGAACATTCGGATAGTACGCTAAGAGTGTTTTGATTTAATGTATTTATTTACTTTTAAATTCGTTTGAAATCAAAAAGTACTTTTATTAGACATTTACTTTAATATAAATTAAATAAATTGCTTGCGCCATTCAGTAACAATATACACAAACAAGGTTTTTTTTAATCAAATAATCGATCCAATGCTATTAAGGCAACGAAAAACGTAAAGACTTTTGGTATAAATATTAAACATAGTTTTCAAAAATGTTTGTTCCATATTTTGTTACATATTCTATTGCATATTTGGAAGGGGCTGATTCTAAACTATATTTTCCAATTTTCGATTTTGATGTCTGTAAAAAATAGTTTCGGATTTCTATACAAACATCTCACCCTTTTTCACCTTAGGGGTAAAATTTTCACAAACTCTGGAACAGGCCTTAGATCCACATTCGCAGGCCAGTTTCAATTTGTCTGATGTCCCGGGTTCGAATACCGGTCGAGTTCTCTATGGTCTCTAGTGATCAAAAAATGTTCCGTGTATAGGAAGTCACGTTTAGACTTCCTATACACTATAATTCCATTGGACCCTGCCGTATTTCAGTCATTAATACTCTATCCGCATCGGGCCACCGTGGAGACTCATGGCCCATTCCCTTAACACCTCTAAGGAAGGCATGAGCTACTGCACTGGAAACGTAAAAGCATAAGCATAGCATTATTAGAACCGACCAAGCGTGAATTGGACACTTTTTGTGATTAATAAAACTTTTCCAAATCGTGATTTAGTACG